TGGGAAACAACTTTTGGTTCGAGTTATCTCTTGGTTCAACGGTTCAAGCTTACGAAATAGAGATTCCAGTGTAATTCAGAGATTCCAAGTAAAAGAAGAAAATAACTGTTAGTTTTTCATGATTTTTACTCAATAAGGGAGAATGGAGTTAAGCAATAACAAATATAAAATACAAAGGAAATGTTAAAGGTTGAAGTGACTTGATTTTTTCTGAAGCGAAAGGAATCCCGATCTAAGAGTGAAGCTTACGAAACAAGACCGAATAGAAGTTTGGGTATCCACGCATGTTATTGTAAAAATATTTCGGCAGGGTCTTATTTTAACCCTTGAGGTACTGATACGTTTCGACCCTTCAGAGATTTTCTGATTTTGTAGGTTTCTGTATTTTTGAAGCTTTTCAAAATTCTGCTAAACGTTTGTCTGAGAGAATCATTTTAACAAACAGAAGGAAACATAAGAATTCACGTTCCTCACGTTATTAATCTCATCTGTATTTTCACGGTGCATCGCTTCTTCTATTCTACGCATTCACTTTTCAGTCTCGAAAGCTTACAACTTTCATCCGACATCCTTAGCTTACATGACTGCATATCTAAACTTTTATGAATTTGGATAAAATCCTCCTATAACTGTTCTTTTCTTTTTCTTCATACAAATCTTAAAAATAATCTAAAACTTCGTCATAAGATTAAGATACCTTCCACTGTAAACCACAGGAGGTACTCTTGGGTACAAGAAATCTTCACAACGTAATATGTAAATTGCACAAAACGTCGATTTGAATAAAGAGCATCAGGGTATATTACCCCTAAAGAAGAAATCATACTGTAACATGTCACACTCCAACCATAGCTAGCAGATTTTAACTTTTAGTCTTCTTATGCAATGCATCCCAGCATCTAAACCTCTGTTTGCTGTTGTCCACAACTACAAGTCGACGGCAATATATTGAATTCTTCAGCAATTACTGTAGAAAAATAAGGGAAAGAAGTTTTGAGAAAGAGGTGTTTTGCAAGGTTAAGTACTAACTAAAGGAAATCGAGAAATATTTCGCCAAAGCTGCTCCTCAATGCTGGAGTGAGTATAAATGACATTTAGACACAGCACTACCTTTGTGTCCGCTTAAATGTATAACAGGTTTGATTAAAAGTAACTTTGAGGTAATATATCAAACACGGAAGACCGTGTTAGACCACATTTTCAAAAACCAAGAAGAGAGTCGAAAATGCAGCGCGAAGTTGAGCATTTTTGACGAACTTCGAGGTGTTTGGAAATGTGGTCAAACACTATCTTGAGTGTTTGATATATCTTCTCAATCGAAACTAAAACTAGGGAGAAAACGGAGAAATGAAATCGTAAAAATCTATGCTAATTAAGATTAGATATCCAAACACCGTCACGGTCATGATTTCCTTCGTTTAAACCTGGTGAATTATTAACGAATATTAATTACCTTGCGGAGCTGAATCCTCCCTAGCCGTTACCATTAGTCCAGTATTTCGCCTTTTGTTAAGCTGCTTTGTTATGAAAAAGCACAGTTTGCCACCAACAAGAACGACAAATAGAAACAAGGACAGTGCTACCACAACAGCAACGAACACTGGCGACTGAGAGTCAAACGAGTTGATGGTATTACGCTCAACATCGGTGGACCTCTCTTGACTTTCGGCAGCCTGGAAAGCAAAGGTATTTACGAGTGACTGAATTTCTGTTACGAGACAAAATATGCGTTAAATTTTATATTCTTGGTCGAGAGTCAATTCTGTCACTACGGAGGTGCGCGGCCAGATTTGTACATTTCATTTTAAGGGACTACCTGAAACTGATATGCAACCGGAAGTAGAAGATGAGAGGTGTCTGGTAAGGCTGTTGATTTCTCCAGTCAATATTTCCCACCAGTTATCGAGGGAATACTTTGCTCAAAAAAAGAGTAAAAAAAAAAACGTCGTATCACATGTTATTGGCATTATTTTGCCCATGAACCATAGTTTTGTTTACACGTGCCGTGATATGACGTCATCCCGGGCTTGAATGGTTAACAGAGCAAATATCACTGTCGACGGATGCCATCATTACCATTGTATTCAGTATTATGAGTTAATGTAGAAGTCTTTTCCTTTCTTTAATGTAAAAACCCTTTTAGAGTTAAATGAGAAATTTTGTTACTTGGATAAATAAAAACTATCACGTTGAAAGAGTTCTTTTAAGACATGGTACCCTGTTTTTCCGCGGACAAGTATACTACGCGCGTCGCGTGGATGTTTTCTAGGAGAATGAAAATGCGTGTAAAGCAGCTTGGGCTGTCCACGTGACCAAAATCCACCTCACAGGATTGGTTTTTTCTAAACCTTCTTTTGATTTTCGAAATCAGGAGTGATCTAAAAATAACTTAAAAGAGATTACCTTGAGAATAAGAGATGTATGGGAGGTAAACTCTCTTATTCTTGATCCTCTCTTGTCGAATTCCAATTAAACCAACTAGTGATTGCTACCTTACCTTTATGGATGGCGCGGTGGTCTCATGGCTAGTGCGCTCGTCTCCAGATCGAGCGATCCGGGTTTGAACCCTGGCCGGGACATTGTCTTTGTGTTCTGAGGCAAGACACTTCACTCTCACAGTGCCTCTCTGCACCCAGGTGTATAAATGGGTACCGGCGAACTTAACGCTGGGGCCCTGCGGTGGACTGCCAGCCAATCCAAGGGGGAATAGAAATACTCCTAGTCACTTCATGCTGACAGAAACCGAATTAAGCTCCGGCCTGATGGGCCAATTGGCTCGCATACAGACTTAACTTTATCAAACTACGTTACCTCTATAGCTATTGGTTCAGTATCAGTCACTAAACTAGAGCCGGATGTGTTATAGAATAATTTAAATCCAGAAGTTCATCTCACCTTAGAATCTTTGATGTAATTACTTGTGATTTTAAGCACATCATTGTAACGGAACTTGATCACATTTGATAAACAGTCCGAGATACCCTCCTGAAACACATAGTGCCCATACGCCACTCCGTAGGCTCGGTTATGTGGTATAAAGTTGGCTACTGACATTTGTTGCGTTTTATCCTTCGTCTTCATAGACTCAATTCCAATGAAAATGTCATCTACGAGCACGTCGATTTCTTCTTGGTTTGTCAGCGAGTCGTACATCTCATCACGGTCTTCAAGAGCTACAAAAGATACGTCCGGTTGAATTAACATAACTAAAGATGCAAATTGTGCTTTATAAGAAATCGTAGCCAAAGAGCTCTTTTGCTAGAAATCAGTTGTGCTGTCAGCTTTAAAAAGAATTGAATTAATAGGTCTTTTAAATTAACGGCCTTCGGTTGCTGAAAGAATTTCAATTTAGCGAAAATGAAAGTTCAAAAGTAATACAGATGAACCTGAGATAGTTGAAAAAACAAAATGAATAGCGTGGAGGTGTACGGACAGTCAGGAACTGAACTAATAAGCACTCGTCTTAGCTTCAAGAGGATATTAAAATTCACACGGTATTAATGGTAAAAGTTAACATAAACACATTACGCTACATTTTATAATCGCTACATTTATACTATCACTAATTCTTTTCCTATTGCTACAGTTAATGAGAACAGCATAACGTATTCTTACTTGTAATGTTAGCGACCAAATTGACGGCATCCTGAAAAGCCGGGCTGTCCCTTAAGACGCCAACCTAATGCAAGGATTACTCAGTGGTTAGTATAACGAGTAGCCGTGTTAATTAGATTGTTTGCCTAGTTCGGCTTAATTTAAAAGGGCTACGGCTATGTAGATTTAGGGTTAGGTGTTAGGGTGATTTAGCCATGGAACCTAGCATAAATGTTCTTGTTGTCATTTGGAAGAGGGATGAACTTTAATGAAGGTATGGCCGCAATTTCGTATTTCACGCTTTTTCCATTCCATTTAAATGAGACGAGGATTCAATTTCTTTTCTCTTAGCTTCTGTTGCTGGAAAATATCCAAACCCTCGAAAATCAAGCGGGCTGCCCAGACCTAAAATCAATGCAGGACCACCTCCTAGAGGGAAAAAGAGTGGGATTACTACAACATCCCTTTAGGTATAGTACAAAGTCTCCAAGAACAAAATACAGGCACAAAATTGCCCAACCCGTTTTCCTGTTGTCACGTCATATTTCTCAAGCTTGACATTGGTTAGCGCACTGGTGAGGGTAGCAGTCATCACAGAACAAACAGTGACACCAATCAATATCCACACCAAGGCAAACGACCTGGCAAGAGTAGACTTCGGTGTCTTGTCGCCATAGCTTTATCAACAATTAAAAGAACAGGTCAGGTTGTTAGAAGTTTAGAGTGACAAACCCAAACTATCTTCAGCCTAAACTATCAGCTGATTAGTTCTGGGTGTGGTTGCGTGGGGTTGTTTCTGAGGGAAACTCTGGCTTGTATGGGGGAAGAATCATAATTCTCTTCTTTCATGTTCTTTTCGACGTCAGCCTATTTCAGGCTCTTGGTCAGTGGGGACGATCCAAAGCGGGTGGAGGGGGAAGGGGGAGAACGACGAGCGGGGTCTGGGACCTACGGCTCTCTCCTTTCCTCTCCCAGACTCTAATCGTCGCCCGCCCGCTGAAACAGGCTATCTGGACGTTAAAGCGTGTTGTAAACGTTTAGTCGACTCTCAATTAGAATTGCGCACTTGAAGTTTAGAGCGTCTTTCCAGTTCTCTATCAAGGGATCTATCATCGCCTGCCCGCTTTTTCGATTGTGTCCACTCACCAAGAGCCTGAACCAGGCTATTTGGACGTTAAAGGGTGTTCTAACCGTTTAGTCGGCTCTCAATTAGAATTTTGCGCTAGAACTTTACAGCGTCTTTCCAGTTCTCTATCATGGGATTATTTTCAGCCGAGTGCTAATTCTTTCATTTAACAAGCTTGCTTAGGATCTTTCTGAGTGAATATTGGACCTCGGTCCGATATTTACTTGTAGTAGTACGGCCTGTGAGCTTAGTTAATGAGGTACGTTAACGAAAGATGCAGCGTCTTAGTCATTACTGCACTTAAGGAAGTGCGGCAGTCGAAGCAAAAGTTTTGTAAAAATTCTTTTTCCCGATACACGGTAAGTTTATCCGAAGAACTCCAAGATTGCGTGCTTTTCTGCTTCATGTTTTACAATGAGTAAAAGCTTTGAGATATGCCCAAATTACTCTTTTGTTTGATCTCTTTCGCCCAAGGGTGTTAGCCTTCTCTTCTTTAAAAAAAATACCACATTATAAGGCACGAGACTTCAAATTATCACGCACGGAGAAAAAGAAAGTTATTACTCATGTACAATTGTCACAGGGTGCAGAATCTGTTATAAGTAGAGTAGAAGATTTTATTATTATATATTTACAAAAGCAATGCTTAGAAACTGGAAAGAAAAAAGTCGTTATCATAACAAAACGAGCACAGCCTAGCAACCATTGACAAGAAAATTAGGCTCTGTCTTCTTCTACATACTTCACGGACAAGTAATACAAGGGAAAACTGACTCTATTCCTGATCATGAGCTGTAGGATTAAGTAAAGAAACGACAAGAAACAAACAAGTTATACCACACGTGCTTCATGTGCGTGTTCAAAACTAATTTAGTAGGAGGGTTTTACTCACCCAACGGTTGTTATGGTAACGAATGCCCACCAAAATCCCTCAAAGGCGCCAAGATCAAATCTTGAGGGAAACTGCTCAGGATTGTGGGAAGAGTCCTAACAAAAAGTATCAACATTTAGGAAACAAATTACTTTTGAAAAATCCCGTTAAATATGTAATATACGATACTTGGTAAACATATTAAATGATAGCCGTGTTTACTCTGGGAGAGAGCAATTAGCCAAACGTGTTGAAGTTTACAACATGTGTGATATCATTATGCTCTGTAAATAATAAGTAACGTGATTGCAAGGTACACAACTGAACGTTTTATTCAATGCGGGGGGTGATATTTTCTCTGATTGACGTTTTTAGACACATTTAAACAGGAGGTCCTAACCCTCGCCGGGATGTGACGGTCTTTGATAACGCGCTCAATAGAATGAATTTCTCTTTCTTTCTGATCTGAAGACGTAACATTAAATCAAGCCTGCGTATGCAAATATGTGTCTGATAAAAGAACTGTAAAGACCTTTTATATATTCACTTGCCGTGATAAAAATGATATGACTATTGTTTATTTATTTATTTATTTAAAAGAAAATTAAATTTTTTTTTTTTTAGTCCATAAGCATTCATTTATGCTTGATCGAGTAAAACTATCGATCAAGGCATTATTTGACCAAAGTATTGTATGGTACGCGCACAAACTCCTATAGAAATTCTTGTCCCTGTGCCGAGAGGTTCCTTAAGATGATCTAAGTCGCCTAAAATTCACGATGAAAACAATGATTGCGATATCGACCTCTATAAAGCTCTTTCGTTAATAAACGTTCAACCTGATCACCGCGCCTCCATTTTTACGCTTCAATTGATTTTAAATAGGTGAACTTTTTTATTGTAAGTCGATAAACTCACCAAGGCCCAGATAAATACACCTGCGACGGACGACATTAAGAACGCCATTAACACCACGGGCCATGTTCCCAACACAGCCTTTAACACCACTTTCCATTCTTT